CAATGATTTATATTTTATGAATTGCTATGGCAGCAGTCCAAATTTTTGAACCCCATATCAGTGTCCAGATTAATTATAAATGTATTTAATTGCATTGCATTATATATTTTCCCATTCAAAACTTTAATTCTTGTGAGCTTTAAGCCATATTATAATGTTGTTTCTGCCTCAAAAACATACCTGGATTTTATTTTTATTTTTTTCCATTCACACGTTTGAGTAATCCTTTTTTTTATTAGCCTGTTTACATCTCCAAAGCTCAAAATGCTCTGTTCCACCTTGTGATCTCAAATTAACAGCTATCTTTACATTAAATTCACATTGGCATTGGACATTGGCAATTCCAGTACTAAAACCATTCAAATAATTCAAGTGAAGGTGAAAGTAAGGTGTTTAAAAACACAGTGGAGCACTTATTGTATTATCACATAACATGTTTCATTCACATGTTTGCGTAATCTTTTATTATTACTCTGTCTACATCTCCAAACCTCAAAAAATACTACTAATAAATAGAAAAACACATGCATTTTTCCTGATACAACATAAATAATTGTACCAGTAGTATTTAAAGGACTTTTATTACGCTATTTTCTGATTTGTTATAATGTTGTTTCCTCATCCAAAACGTACTGAAGTTGTGTTTTTTTTTGTGTGTTTTTTTTCATTTGTTTTTTTTTTTCATTCACACATGCATTCACAGCTACCTTTTAACTTTAGGTTAGGGCTGACGCAGTGGGGCACCTCCTGTATTACCACATGACATCACAAGGTGGAACAGAGTGTTTTCAGTCTGAGGGAAGAACTCAACCTAAATATGTAGGTTGTGTGTGTTTTAAACATGTGTGAATGAAACAAAACACAACTATAGTATGTTTTTGATGAGGAAACATTATAACATGGATCAGAAAATAGAGTAATAAAAGTCCTTTAAATAATCCTGGCGCTGTCATTTCAAATCATATTTTTTAAACAATTATTTACATAGTATCAAAAGTAAACATACAGAGGAAAACTGCACATGTTCTTCTGTTTATTAGTAGTATTTTGTTTTGATTCATGTTTTCAAATTCATTGCAATGGCTTCGCTCCAGGTTTTGTGAGACTGAATGAGAGCAGTCATTTGAATCGTAACCAAATTTCACCGAATTGCAGATGAACACAGCTCTATTACCCACATAAAAATGAAACATTTTGTGCCATAAAATTACTATTAGAAGTACAATTACGCTAAAACTTGAGTTGAGACTTTCGTAACAGGCTTGTGCCCAAACACATGCTTCGTAAACCAACAGGTCCGGAGCATGGCGTGGTGTGGTCTGTCTGAAATCTCGATAAGCACTTCTAAAGCCCTCAGACATTTCCTTTGGCTGTGAAAATCCAAATCAATGCCACATGAAGAGGCTTGGGAGTCTGCCCTGGCATCGTGTATCCTGGTGGGAGTGCCCATTGTAAACAGCAGCAGGTTTGCAGCAGACTGTGTGAGTGGGAGAGGCCTGGAAAGACAATGACAACGCTTAAACTATTAATTGCGTCTACAGTAATAATGAGAGAGGAGTAACTCAGTGTGAAATATTGGCGCGTTTCAGATGGCATTAGAACGCTCTATAGGCTATCATATTTAATACTGAACACAGAGGAGCAGTTAAATTGTATATTGTTGACGTGCAGATTTGAGTTGTAATCCAGTGAGCTTGTAGTAAGTTGATATTTTGCCGGGACATCATGCTGAGGGGGTGTATTTCATTTATATCTATGGCAGAATTTTCAACAGTTACCATGGTGACATTGTGCACACATCACGCACTGCCAAATCGGTTGATCTTTGTCAGTAAACCAAAAAAAAAAGTGTTTTGTAGGTGTTTGGGAAAAAAAGGTGAGAGTGACTAACTGAAAAACTGCCAGCTCGCTTGTGACTGTAATATTATTTGAGAGAGATTTTGTAGTTCCAGCTAAATCAGTTCTTTACGGTCAAAGGTCAGATTAAAATCTCACCTGAGTAACAGAGCTTCAGATAGAGCAGTGTCTCCAGTTCGCATTTCACACCCAGGAAATGTTGACGATGTCAGCTGAAACGTAGGCTATCGATAGTAGAAATAAGAGGAGGGGACTTGGAAGTCGTGACTTGGACTCGAGTCAAACTTGAGTCACTATTATTAGGACTTGACAAAGTAGACTAAGACTTGAGACTCGACTTGGACTTGAAGGTCAGTGACTTGGAACTTGACTCTGACTTGAGGCCTGTGACTTGAGAAGACTTGATGCTTCTCCTAAAAAAGTATGTGTTTATATGTTTTTAGAAAATACTTTTCTCTTTACAGTTGATACATGCGGTGCTGAATTTTACAGAAACAAAGTGGAACTTGTCCCTCCCACTTCTGTTTGTAACTTTGGATGTAACTGAAGTACTGTGATGCAATATCCTCAAAGTACTACAGTAATATACAGTACAATACCAAGAGAACATGATCCTTCATAACAAAATAAGTGTTTTTTAGCACTTTTTAAAGAATGAATCCTTTCTATTCTGACCAAAATGATTTGCACTAAGGTCTTGTCAAGACATTTAAAAAGGAAAAAATAGCATTTCTGCAACTCTTATATAAATACTCATATTTAAATATAAAATAGAAAGCCTTTATTGTCATTGTACAGTGTAATGAAATTCAGAGCTGCTCCATCAAGTGCAAGAATTAAACAAAATAAATAAAACAAATTAACAGTTCTCATATATATCATGATATTTTAAGTAAATTTAGTATAAAATTCATATAAATTGCATATTATAAATCTAAACTGTATTTGCTACATTGATTTAAAGACTTGAAATGACTTGAAGCTCAAAGCAGACGACTTGGACTTGACTTGGACTTATGGACCAGTGACTTGAGACTTGACTTGGACTTGTCTATCTTTGACTTGGGACTTGACACGGACTTGAGGTCAAAGACTTGAGAGTTACTTGAGACTTGTAAAACGACTTGGTTCCACCTCTGGTAGAAATCATCACGTTCAACATTTGGGAATATTTACTAGCAAAGCACAATGTTACCAATAAGGAAATAGTCTTGCCCTCATTTGGAGAGTATGACATCATCACATTTTATAGTAAGAAAACCTCCAATGTGTACTTGCATAAGTATTGCACGTATTTTATTATAGGAACTTCAACATCCGGAAAGTTATGACTGTGGCCATAGCAATTAACATTTCAAAACTAAGTCAACCATCATAAATAGACCGTATATGGAAATGAGCTTCCTATAACCTAGAATCTTGTACTAGCATGTCTGCCCTCATTGTCTTGGTCCATAAATAAATAAAAAATGGCGGCTCCTCACACCAGCTGCTTTGGTTCCAGTATATCAGTATGACTTTAAGGTGCACTGCGGAACATTCTGTGTCCTTCAAGTCTCAGTAAATATGCTATTTCTTTGTCTGGAGCGTACCACAGCAAGCAGATAGTGGATATTTGGGCTACTTTATTACACACTAAAATGTTCTATATTACTTTAAGCTTTAAGTTACGTTAGAATTTTGTTATCTCTTCAAAAACATATCAGGATTTGTGTTTTGTTTTGTTCACACATGTTTGACTAACCCTTCATTATTAGTTTGTCTGCATCTACAAAGCTCAAAATGCTCTGTTCCTCCTTCTGATGTCATGTAGTGATAGTTTTCAAGTTAACAGTTATCTTTTACCATTTGTTTAATATTCCAGGGCAATTCCAGGGCCGAAGTCATCAAAACGATTACAGTTAGGGCTGATGCAGTGGAGCACTTCCTGTATTACCACATGACATCACAAGGTGGAACAGAGTGTTATCAGTTTGAGGGAAGAACTCAACTTAAATATGTAGGTTGTGTGTGCTAAACATGTGTGAATGAAAGAGTACACAACTCCAGGCATGTTTTTGGTGAGGAAATATTATAACACAGATCAGAAAATAATTGCATAATGTGGGCCTAACCCGAACCCTTTAAGAATTTTGTCCGGTATTACTTAACAAATGTAATATGTATATAATAAACAATTAATAATATAATAAATTAAACAAATAAGGATATGTAAATCTGTGCTATTAGGTAAAATAATGGTCAACAAATTAAATGTATTAATTTATCTTAAAGATGCACTATGCAGGGCCCATCACCTGCTTTTTTCTATAGATGTCACTGCTCTGCCTGGAATGTTCCGCAGTATGACATTAAACCACGCTACCTTACATTTATTCAATTGCAAATGGTTTTATAGCTCAAAAATACCTAGAAAAACAGGCAATTTGACTGTGAGCGGTGTTACCTCTCTACAGATCTGACCTGTAACTTGGTCTGATTTGATCTCCATGAAGATAGAATAATTGATCATTGAAGTTATATTTTAGATTGCATTTGAACTGAAACATATTAGGATTGGTATTATTTCACTTACAGCAATGAATAAAATATTTTCAGTTATCAATTAGAATTAATTCATTACGCTTATGTATTGTAATTTTTATGTATATTGTTCATCTGCTTACATGTATGTATGTATATTTATGTATGTATTTATGTATGTATGTATGTATGTGTGTGTATGTATGTATGTATGTGTGTGTGTATGTATGTGTGTGTATGTATGTTTTAAATAATATATGTATGTATGTATGTTTAAAATAATATGTATGTATGTATGTATGTATGTGTGTGTGTGTGTGCGTGTGTGTGTGTGTGTATGTATGTATGTGTGTGCGTGTGTGTGTGTGTGTGTGTGTGTGTGTGTGTGTGTGTATGTATGTATGTGTGTATGTGATACATGTAATGAAAAAAACAAAATAAAAATGAAGATAGAAAGGTTTAAACCATCCTTTTAAATACAGTGTACAAATGAAATGAACCTTGAATGTAGCTGCATAAACACAGTGCTACATGGCTACTTTGTTGGAGCACTTAGCAACAAGTCGGTGCACTGGACCTGTCCCAGCCCCACCCTGACTTTCCCTTATTTTTCATTGCAGCCTGCGTCACCGTTCACCACCAGCAGACGTCAACTCCTGCGTCCTCACTCGCTTCTCGTAGCCGGGGGACACGTTTTATCATCCTATTGTTTTTCCAAAGGTGTTTATAGAGGAGCAGAAGTCGGGACTCTGAGTTAAAGGTGAGGTCGTGTACTGTAGGATATATAGCGCCGTTTAATAACTATAATCCAGTGACACATACACAGCCTGGATCAGATGTCAGACCTGAGTGGGTGTGTGGCAGATTTGTTGTTTGAGTGGTATCTGATTTAAATGTGCGCTGTGTAACTTCTCTGGTGGAGGGTTTGCTACCTTTGCGTTTCCATGGACATCCATTTTACATTCATTTAAAGCGCCCATATTACGCTATTTTCTGATCTATGTTATTATGTTGTTTCCTCATTACAAACATACAAGGAGTTGTGTCATTTTTATGTTTAACACCCTAACCCTGCAAATTTAGGCTGCGTTATTCTCTCAAATGGAAAACGCTCTCTTCCACCTTGTGATGTCGTGTAGAAAAAGTGCTCTTCTGTGTTTTTAAACTCCATACACACATTGACTGGCATAATTTGGACGATTTCAGATCTGGAATTGCCAATCTGCCAATTGCTAAAAAGCGCTATATAAAACTGATGCGTTATTATTATTATTATTAGTAGTAGTAGTAGTAGTAGTAGTAGTAGTAGTAGTAGTAGTATCTCTAGTGATCAAAAGATAGTGACATCACAAGGTGGAAAAGCATATTTTGAGCTTTGGAGATGTAGACAGATGCAAACAGAGCTGGCTTGCCTCTCCACAGATCTGACCTATAACTTGTCCCTGGTGGCATCCCTTACTATAGTAATAAATGAATTAAATGCCATACTGTGGAACATTTTAAGGACATGTAAAACTGGATACACTGGTGCCACTACTGCATTTAATGTCTGGTTATTTATAGCTTTCGTTTAACTGGACCTACAGTTGTTTGTTTTGTTTGTTTTGTTTGCATTGTCTAAACAGGGCGCTCATGAAAAAGAGTCTGGTACTCTCAATGGGCTCTCCTTATATAAATACTGATATTACAGGTAATATCTTCCACCAGAGAAGTGACGTAGTGTATCTTTAAAACGTCTGCAACTGATTATGTTCTATCTTTAATTGATTTCTTCTGTTTACCCTTTAGTTTTTAATGAGTCTTTCAGCAGGACACCTCCTCGGAGCAGATGTGCCTCCCCTGGAAGCTGGTTTCAGATGGTGGCGTAGAGTCATGTCATCCATCTAGCACCATTTGAAATCAGTGTTCTTGGGGCCAGAGCTTTGTTTCACAGCAACAGTGGAGACACAACTGGAGGAGAGCAAAGACGGGGAAAAATTTAGCTAAAATTTAACTAGTAAGATTGTATTTCCTTCCTCATTCATACTTTTAGTTCTTTGTGAAAGCCTGTGTTTACATTCACACCGTAATCTGATTATAATGTGATTTCTGGACCGTTAAGATTATCTAAGTGACACGCAAACTGCAAAATGTGATTAATAAGTGAGTAATAAGAAGGGCCATGCTTTGCTGTTTATACCAGAGTCCTGCACCGGGTCGGGGATCTGCAAATAGTTGCTGAAATGGACGGGTTTTAACATTTTGGAATTTTACAGGCGGGTATGCGGGCGGGTAGTGATTACACACGGGCGGGTCAGGACTAAATCTGGACTAAACCAGGACTAAACCAGGACTACACCAGGACTACACCAGGACTACATAAGGTCTAAACCAGGTCTAAACCAGGACTAACCCAGGACTAAAACCAGGACTAAACCAGGTCTATACCAGGACTATACAGGACATGAGAGAGAGCAGGGTGTCCACAAAATGCGGGCGCGGTTGTATTTAGCCCTGTGGGGCGTGGAGCTCTGTGCCAGTCCTTTCACCCACAGTCGCCCAACGGTCTACGCAGGTGCCCGTCCCGACAGTCAGTCCTAGTTTAGTCCTGGTTCAGTCCTACTTCAGTCCTGGTTTAGTCCTCCTGGTTCAGTCCTAGGTTAATCCTGGTTTAGTCCTGGTTGAGTCCGTGGCAGGTGCGCCGCAAAAGTGCAGCATCTCAATAGATGTTTCTTCTGCTCAGGAACTAATACCTGTGAAGTGATGACGGATTTTTGACATTAGAGTCGCGTCTGTGAATTTGTATTCGTAATGAAGAAAGTGTAATCGTTTCATTTCGTGACTGTAATTCTTTTTTTGTCACTTAATTTTTATGAAGTATTTTATACAATAACAAAACAGGCACAGCAAGGAATTTAACATACATTTTAGATGGGAAAAATATATATATAATATATATATAATACACACACACACACACACACATATATATATATATATATAGATAGATAGATATATAGATAGATAGATATATATATACACATACACATCACATACACATATATACACATCACTCAGACATATTACCCTGAAATGCTATTGTTTTATGGGTACTTAGCTGGAGCAGTACTAACTTAACTAAACTTCACTGCGATATTTAGACCATTTAGCCCATCTTGCATAATAAACATCAGCTTTAAGCCTTAGCATGTATGTCAGATGTTCCATTTTATGAGTTTCTTCAATCATTTTTAACCAGTCTTCTAGCATAGGAGGATCTGGTTGAAGCCATTTACGTGTAATTGCCTTTTTCATGATTGTAATTCTTAAAGTCGTAACTTTTCAATTTGTATTCTGATGGATGCTTCAGTTAGAATGCTTTTAATCTGTGTGGGATTTATCACGGGTCTAGGTGGGTGTGGATTTAACTTTGATATATTCATGGGTCCAAAAATGGACCCGTGCAGGACTCTGATTTATACATGCCAATTTTGTAGTCTTATAAGTCAACAGAAATGTAACTGTAAACAGATTGAGTGTGCTGTCAGACAATCACAGCCCCTCATCTTTGACTTTCAACCAATTATCTCTCAAGCCATCTCTGTTAGTATAAATATACTACGAGCACATCTCATTTCACTTTCCTCGCTTCCTTCTCCTTGATTCCTCTCCATGATCCTCCATTTTTCAGCTGTCAATCAAATGTGTCGTATTAAGTAATGTCCCAAAGAAAACCAAGGATTGAAGGAGCAAACATGAGATAAAATTTGAAATTTGTGTAATTAGAATGAGAAAATATAACTTGATGATTTTGTAGTGGCAACATGCAGACTTACTAGACAAACTTACAAGAAGATAACCCAAAACTTTGTGCTATGACACTTAAAATACAACATACAACATAATTAAAAGCATTGTGTTTCAATCATCAGTATTATCCAGCATGTTTGTGTTTTGTATTTTATTGTTACCCTAATATTACTAGCATTGTTATGTTGTGGGGTCTAAGCACCAAAGTTCATTCATTCATTAACTTTTCTTTGCATCTCATTCATTTGTCTGTGCCCAAGTCTCTCCAGGTTGAAATGATGACCTTTCCCAACAGAAGAACTCACTTCCAGAAGTGTCCTCTCTCCAAGGTTGACCGATTTCTCTTGGGGCTTGAGTTTTTAAAAATTTCTAGCACCATTTGAAATCGGTTACAATGAAGGACAGTATCAGCTCACAAAGGGGGATGGATGTCTCTGTCAACCTGTGCAACAAGTCTAACTACACTGTTTTATTGTTAGGGCTGAGTTCAGTGGTGGAATGTAACAAAGTAAAAGTAGTAAAGTACTGTATTTACTTAAGGAGATTTTAAAGTGGTTACTTTTTACTTTTACTTCACTACATTGGAGAACAGATATTTGTACTTTCTCCTCCATTACATTTTTTAACTGAAAATTAAACGTATTTTTATGATTGTCTGAGACCTGCTGAGGTCTCACATTTGTAGTTTGAACAAATAAAAATACACACACACACAAAACAGCAAAGCAAAAAAAAATTTGATTCTATTGTTTTTATTGAACTAAATTCAAATACAAAGCTTTATCAACATCTCTACATTTGAAGTGTTACTAGATCTCAAAACCTGTGTGAAATAATTTCACTGTTTACCCCTTAAGTACTTTTTTAAACAGGTACTTTACCAAAGTGGTTTTTTTCATGTGATTTTTTTTTTTTTTTTTTTTTTTTTTGCTCTGGGATCTACTTTTTGAAAGAAATATCCAAACTTATGAAATTTGGGAACTGGCTCCACAAACTTGACATATTAATCGTTAAGCTTTAAGTTTTTTCAACTGACAATGGTCACATCTTTGGGGTTGAATAATGGTGCCACCTTCTGAAGCTACAGAGAAAAAATAATTTTGTTATATGTGGACAGGCCCAGTAATTACAGAGATATGAACAATCTCTTGTTAATATTCTGTAGTCTAGATATTGGTAATAAATTATTTAAATTACTGATCTGTTTATCTCAACTGTTTAAATGTTTAACTCAACTCAAGGTACTTTGTATCAGTTTCCACTAGATGGCGCCATTTGCATTAAGACTACATGTGCTTCATGACTAATTTTCCGCCTACACACAGTCATTGATTTGATTGTGAAGTTGTACACACTTATCTTTCACAAAGGTTTCGTTTTCTGGGCATATAATCTATGTAGACAGTAACGACTTATAAATCATCAAATAAAAATGAATGAAAATGAGCAAGTTTATACAATTTTACTCTATTTTTTTATTTTTCAGAAAACAATCACAAGCCATCTACAAAAGTATTAGAAACCATCTATTACAAATCAACACATTCCACATTATAAAAAAAAATAATAATAATAATTTGAATTGTTTTTTTTTATAAATAAAAGCAAGGTGCAAATACTTAATAGGCAAATATAAACCAATATCCAAAGACTTCCTTCTTACTTTCAAATACTTACATTATGGATTTTTTTAATCAAATCCAACTAAATTTACAAGTTAGGTTATTAAATAACCTAAAACGGAAAGAGATCCAGTGCAATGGAGTCCACACCAAACAAATAAAATGAATTTGAGACTCAAATTTAGAAACATGCCATTTTAGCATGAGGTTATTATTTTTGTCATGCCAACAGCAGTTAGTTTGGTCACTAGGTCCCACAGTGAGTAAGATTTCATCAATGACGCTCATGCCAAGTATTTTGATAGTATTCGGGCCTAAAGTGCATAAGACAGGTTTTCATGTTTTTCCGCTTAACTTCCCTTGATGGAACACAGGTTCGTATATATGTCATAGTTTTACATCAGTCAACTGGGAGTATATGAAGTGAATTAAACGATTACAAATCGCAAGGGACCCAAAATACACAGTTCAATACAGAGAATATTCTGCACTCACAGAAGAAATAACTTGAGAAATTTCATCCAAATAGCAGTCAAATACATGCAAAGAACAAATCAGTATGTGTTAGATGATCATTTAAAGCCTTGAAAGGCTTAGCCCGACAGTACATCTCTCGACCCTCGAGTCTCATCTTAAGAACCACTTTTATTTTCTGCCTATTGACACCTTGTAAGTTGTGTGGTCCTGTGTTTTTATTTATTTCCGTTTAAGTATTAAATATAATTTACTGCATAACTTGGCAACACCTCTGTGTGCACAACAGTGGTTGCTAAATAACAGTTAATGTCATCATCATTATTTTCCACCGAAAGGGGAAGTTAAGATAAATATAAACTTCACAGTAACTAGTAAAATAGACTGTGCATGTCAATGAAACAATTTTGACATATTTGGCTGAGAAAGATGCCTACCTGTCCAACCTGTCATATGCACTTTATGGTGATATGTACAGCTCAGAGATTTTGCATTATTTCTCATTTTGATTACTGTATATAGTTGCCTGATGTTGAGTCAGATTTAAGTGCAAATTTATTCCCTCCAAACAAAAAACTGGTCAATCTATAGATTTTTTTGTACACTCTGGATCTCAGTTTTGCTGTGGTAAGGACATATTCAACACCACGTCCTGTAATGGCACTAGGTTTACATATGGTTTATAGATGAAGCATGTGTTTTGATCAGGCAAGTGCAAATTTAAATTAAGCAGAATAGGTTACATTCATGGTAATTGGGAATTTTACCAAATGGGTGCCCCATCTTTTTTTTTTTAAGAATTTGAATATTTAACCTTATTTTTAGGGATCAGACCCACAAATGTATACCTATCAAACTTGTGGTTTTATGTCCTTGGACCTCAGTAGTCTGGTTTTATATTAAATGAAACTAGTTTTTGAAACTATTGTGAAAAAAAATGTATCCTAGTTATTTTTTGACAAAGAAAAATAACTTAACAGCAGTTTGATTGCAGGTTGCCTCTGTAATTATAGATATTAAACTCAACATCTGCAAGTTTAAAGGCAAATTATGTCCAGTTTACATTGTCACATGAATGCAACCTATTCTGAAAAGAAGTGGTTTTACTGTTTTTTTGTTTTACTATTCACTACAGTATATACAGGATCACATAATGTCATAATGTCTGACAAAATTTACAGAATAAAGCAGTGTTCTGGAGTCCAGTCCAGTGCGACCTCTCAACCTGATGACAGCAGGTCAAAGGTCAAAGGCCACGGTGCAATGAAGAAAGTGCCATTCACAAGCCCAGGAGATATGAGCACATTCGACGGTGATCTCCTGTACTTCAGATGCTCTACCACAGATTATTCAGGAACCACTGGGTGCCCAAGCTTACTACAGACACAGAAAAACAACAAGTTAGTGTACAATCAAACAATAACAAAAGAAAATCGATCAAGGACGCAATGTTACACCTGCCATAGAAAACCTGGAAACAAGACATGCTATTTACAAAAAGTTTAATTACACCTGTGAAAGAAGAAAGATTTTGAGGCGAACTTAAGACAGAAACAAAGCAAAGGTGATATAGGAGACCCTTTGAGCATGCAGGTGTTATTCTAAATTCTGAATGGGAAAAAAAGTTGTCAAGATGTTGAATAAAACAGGAAGTTTTACGCAAATAACTTTCACTTTGCATAAAGCTGTTGCTCTGATGGTGAAGAGTTAGGACACTATACGCTCACAATGAATTTCCTCAACTCAGAAACTGCTTATTTTTAAAATAATCAGTATTTATGATTCCAAAGTCAGTGATGCTTATAACTGAATGCGAATCCTGCAGTGTTCCAACTTGATCAAGTCTTCTACTATTGTGTGTTTGCTTTTCTTCACTTTAGATTTCAGGTGCATCGTAACATTAATGTTTCATGTTTTTCTAATTATTACTTGGTTTGGTCTGGGGTATTTTTTTCAATCATAGTGAGAAATGCATTGGTTATGTGGTAATTTGTGGGGAAAAAACAAAAAAAATAAAGGAAGTAGAGCTCAATTCTAAAGGGGAAGACCTAAATCTATGTCATCAACACGGAAATTTTCATTACGAAGCAGTTACAATTTACGTGCAGCATAAACCTTCATTTAATAAAAATAATGTGTTCTTATTTATTTTATTAGTTCAATCCTAACTATTGAGTCATTTAGGCATGTTAACCCTTGTTGCTAGGTAACAGTTATAGACTAGGCAAGGTTTTTGGTAAAAACTTGTGTTAACTGTTTTGAGCGTTTACAGTCTTGGTCACTCGCTGTATTGGATCTATAAATTGTGATGTAAAGTGCTTAGCCGCAGACCCACTACTCATACTCAATACATTAAAGGTATATTGTGTAACTTTTCTGGTGGAGGTACATCAAATGCTTTTCTTCATGAAGATGTTATTGCTTTGTCTGGAATGTTTCACAGTATGGTATTAAACCTTTTATCATGACGGAGACCAACTCAGGCCAAGTTACAGGTCAGATCTGTGGAGAGGTGACCCTGCTCAGTCAGAATGCTTGATTTTCTAATTATTTTTGAGCTGTAAAACCCCCTGTAATAGAATACCTATTTCGGACTATTGAGCGCACCTGTATATGCTACATCAACTAAATTTTAACAACAATTTTAAATTGTACATATATATCGGCCACACCTGAATATAAACCGCAGGTGTCCACGTCTTAAAAGAACTTTTTCAAGTTTGGGCCGTCAGCTTTTATTGCCTCTGAAAGCTTTGGTCGTCTTCTTGCATTGAGTCAGTTCGTCACGCTGCCGTTGCCAAAATCTCACCATCGGCTCATTGATGCCCGGCTCATGTGCAGCAGCTATTTCCTTCTTCCACAGCCACATCATTTGCATTTCTTCAAGTATTTTCCATAAGGAGGGTGTGCACGTGAAGCAGAAAATAACTGTTCAAAACACAATCAAGCTAGAATCTTCCTCGGCGCATCACCCCCGTCTCTCTCTTGGCTTTACGCCGCATGACTCCTGCAAGAGCCGCTGTCGTGTCCGTTTCATGTCAGTGTCTTGAAGAATTTCAGCAGATTTCAGGCACTCCCGGGGGTGGGGCTAGTTGTGTCAGTCAGGTATGAGTGGACGTCCGGCTACTGAAGTTTGAGACGTTTCTTCTTGTCATTTATGTCATTAAGAATCTGTCCATATATTATAGTTCGGAAATTACGGTAAATGTAAGGCAAAGCCGTTTAATGTCATACTACGGAACATTCCAGGCAGAGCAATGAGATATTCATAGAAACAAGCAGATCACGGACAACCAACCAAAAAGTTACACAGTGCACCTTTAAATATGATGTTTACTGTTTTGAGCTTTTACAGGCTTGGTCACTCACTGCTATGAATCCAAATATTGTGACGTAAAGTGCTTAACCGCAGTCCCGCTACTCATTTGTTCCAATACATGAGGTGAACATGGTCGGCCTATTTTCTTCTTACCGATAGTGCTAACGTTTCTGCTTCTTTTGGCGCTTCTGTGTAGGTTTTCCCAGAGCTGAAATCCAACAATGGCTCATCAAAATGTGTATTCAATTAGCAGAAATGTTTAAATGTACAACTACCACACTACTACAAAACTACGAGCGACTCGACCATCACACAGGAAGAAGTCCTCCACCAAGCACACGGAAGCACACAACACTATGGCCGCATCTCATTTGTCTTTCCTCGCTTCCTTCTCCTTGATTCCTTTCCTCGATTCTGCGGGAAATGGGTGATGGAGTTCCGCCCACAGAGGAGACAGTGAGGAGAGAGGATATAAACTCCTCACTGAGACCAATAAAGTTTCTTTTATCTGATGTCCGTCTCCTGACTCCTCATGTCTACTTGTGGTTTTCTTTGGGACCACTTATGACACATTTGATTGACAGCTGAGAAATGGAGGATCGAGGAAAGGAATCAAGGAGAAGGAAGCGAGGAAAGAGAATTGTGACGCGGTCTATGTCTGATTTTCAATTCAACTATTCGGAATCATTTTGTCATTATCTCTGGGTAACTTGAAATTACAACTTCCCACCACAGTTAAGCCATAGTTTCCACCCACCTACTCATCAAGATCACTTTATGATGCATTCTCCAAAAGCATTTCCTTATGTAACATGATATTTTAACATACAACTTGTGATTTTGTTTCAAATCTGACCATACTTACCATAAAACTGTAAGAAGATTTGGTTAGTTAAATTAAAAACAGCTTTGACTTTGTTGTTTGAGCACCAAAACAATGGCAACGTTGAGTGAAAAGTTACATATCCAGACTACAGAATACAGAATACAATCTTATATTAAACTATAACTTCTGTATGTGTCGAAATATTTATGTCACTTTTGTCAGATAAGTGACTCAGATTGCCATTGCTTTGTCTCTGAAGTACATAAACATGCTATAAGCGGTTTATTCAGAAAACATTCTCCAACACAGTGGAACCATGTATAACTGATGTTGGCATAGGACATCAAAATTTGTTGGATCCTACATCGGCTTCCAAATATCAGTTCAGTCAATATCCTGGTTATAAGACTGAACTTTTATTTATGCAAAGTTATTCCGTAGTTACTTAAGAGTTAGATATAAGCTACAGAACACATTTGGATCAATTTTGTCTTATTTTATTTTTGTTTTTAGGAAATAAATACTGTTGTCAGTCTCTAACCTGGTATGAGTTGATTCTTAAAGCCACAGTATTGAAATCGGTATTGGATCTGAAAAAGCAGGATCTGGCTAAAAAAAAATTGCGTTCAGGCTCAAAACCCTAAAAGCTATGCCGTGGATTCACTGTTTGGGAAATATTAAGACTTAAGCTATAGACACACAAGATTTCTCAATTTTGTGGAGAGCAATAATGCATTTTCATTTTGGCTGCTTTCAGGATAACTATGTAACTCTCATCTTTAGATTTGTTAGGCTTTTCTTGTGAAATCTGTCTCTGGTCGCACACTTCATAAGCAATACAGATAAATATAGCTGGATACCTTGTCATCACGTATATAAATGACCAACATTTTTAGATACTATATATTTAACTATGAAAAGATTTAGTACAAAATTGTTTTAAAATGAATCTAAAAGGTGCACAAGAATAAAGTGTAATCTGCTTTTTTAATATCTAGAGATTATTTTATGATTTTAAGACATAAATTATCAAATAAATTTTATTAATTTCATTCTAGACCTGCTAAAGAATCAATTGTGTTGGAAAAATAAGCACACCCCCTGACACCATTTATGAATTTGAAAAAAAGCATCTAGCTATACATGCGCAAAAAGTATGAGTACACCCAACCCATCTGTGTTGAAGAATGCCTTAGAATAGAGCCTGTTGCCGGGTTGAGTAACAAACAAAATATAATAATGCAAAACACACAGACACACATGCAGCCCATGTATTAAGTGCCAAAAGAAAAGACTGAAATAAAACAACGTTTGTGCAGTGTAAAAGGGTTAGGGGCTTTTACAGTCCAGAAGATATGAGTTGGCAAAGCTTTATAATAAACATGAAGAAAATTGTTACCGCTTCTTTTTCTTTAGGACTCCCCAATAAAGGCAGACTCCGATAACAATTATGACAATGATGACTACAAAACATTTGAAAAATAAGCACATGTGAATGACAACATAACCCTGAAAACATGATGGTGCAATGCATGACAAAAAAAATCTGTGGAATTATGAAAATTATGGAAAATCAGATACTCTATAGTTTGATAAACTAATATCAAAACAAGATACTAATTTGAGCAAGTAGCCATACTAAAAACAAAGCATTCAATGAACAGAAATGAACCTTCCTTGAATAGCTTTAGAATGATCTTGAGCTGTATCAGAACAAGTGTAAGAGCACATAGACTAGGACTGGACAAAGCAATCTCTGCTTTGGTCCATGTCGATAAGGTAATTTTAAATGTCAGGTGAATTGTGTGGCAGTAAGAGCATATAGTGCTGATAAGGATTTACACTCTTGTTTAGGAAAAAGCAGTCTGAGCCACAGCACGCCTCTTTATGGCTTCTCACGTTCACAAGTTTTGACTTCAAGCATAACGATTTAACTAAAAGTCCAGTGTCTCTCTCACCTTAATGAGTGCAACTTAAGACCTCATTTAGTGCATGGACATTGCCCGTGTTTCTGCATTTACGTTTAATGTATTGTACAAATGCATTCCAAACTTAAAATGTGAAAAAGTCCACCTGTCTGTATTTTTAATAAGATGGAAGAAGATCGTATCGCTCAGTCCTGACATAGACCTATACACCTTTGGAGTGCTATGGAACATACCTGGACGACATATAACAGTATGCTAATATAAAAGAAATAACATTACTTAATAATGATAATGATTCTATTGTCTAAAGAAAGAGTGTGTGTTTTTTTTATTCTCATTGTGGTATCAGAATCAGTATTGAATATAAAATTCATTCCCTAGTACCAAAATTCTGTTTGAAATTTTTGTACCGTGACACACTAATTATGACATATTAGTAGGACTACAATTAAAACTAGTGGATCTTTTTAAAGATTTTTTTCTAATTTATCAATTAGGTATTAGGGATGATTGGTGCCAATAGTGAGAATATATTTCAGTAATCAGTATCAGTTGGATATTTAGCACTAATATATATATTTTTTTAATATATTTTCTCGTGTTATTCTCACTTTGTCCTTAGTGCTTAAAATGCGTCTTTTTAAACAGACTAGAGAGTTGGAAACAGATGAACAATCAGATAAAAAATTTCACAAATTTACACAAATGCATCAAAACGGATCATATCCCAGATTCAGCTTTGCATGAAAAAAGTTTATACATAAACCATATAAACCACAACAGCAAGACAAAAGCCGTCATCTGATGTCAGCTGTTTGACTATCGGTGCTGTACTATCTTAAAACATGCGAAAAATACATTAAGTAACACTGTTTTGACAGGTTCCACAAAATACAGGTTCCATATAAATATCGTACTGTGAGATGCATACTGAAAATATATCGCACCTAGAGATTTGGATATAATTACCTCCCTAATCCAAACATGCTCATATTTCACTGCCATGAGTTTATAAATCACAGACGAGTTAAACTTAACAGTAAAAATATGTAAAAAGAGCACTTACCAAACACAATGCCGAGCCCAATCGCTAATCCATTACTGTGGCTTTTTGCTGAAAACAAAAGAAATTTCATACATTACAAGATGAAAGTAAAATGTATTTTCCAGTACACAGAGGTGGGAATGATAATGCAGCCATAGCAAATGCACGAGGAAAAAGTCTGTATATGCAGTCAGGGAAGGTCCTGAAATAATCAATAAGTAGTAGAAGGAGGAGAATTACATCGCTCGTTTAAAGTGAAAGTACAAGGAAGCACAAAATGAAGCAGTGGGTTTGGTGTGAAAGGGGGAGCAGTGAAGCCTATGTGAAATGAACAGGGGCTGAAAGATCAAGAATTAAAACTATAATTCTTGATAACATTATTAACAACATTATTTATAGGAAAGAATATTCTGTCTTGTTTTTTCTGTAATTGCGCGGTATTGTTACTGTACATTGTTATTTAAAAGAGTCCATATTATGCTCGTCTCTGATCTATGCGTTTTGTTTAATTCACACGTTTAACAAGCAAACCCTGCATATCTGAGACGGAAAACACTCTGTTCTGCGAGTTTAATGCCATATTGTGGAATATTCCAAAATTCCAAGTAAAGCTATAAACATGGAGACAAGCTAAAACTCTCCACAAAAAAGTTATATCCTGCATCTTTAAACATCAATACTCCTCTATGCTTTACAATGTGCATTTTGAGTCTTGATTTTTGTTTCAGTATTTCACAAATCAGGAATTGCAATAGATGCTAGAAGAAATGCAGACAGGCGTTTTCCCCAAATTGTTCAGCCCCAAGAATCATTTTGGACAGAGCTACAGGCAGTTCTTCTAAGCTTACGTATGCATTGTGGGAGTTCTGGAGACCACTGGCCGTTTTGGTCACAGGTCACAGTACTGACTCCGTCCATTACTCCAGATTCACATTCAAACACCACTGTGTCCTTGTACTTATAAGAAGAACGAGAACCCTCCACCAGCCGTCCATGCTTTACCTCAGGAGCCTTGCATTGAATTACTAAGGCCAAAGAAAAGTCAAATGAGCCAGGGAACACTTCTCTTCTTCTCTTATTTGCAATGTAACAGTCGGTACAAGGGCTAGAGAGCGGGTGGTTGCCAGATTGTTTGTTCATCAAATATTGAGGTCATAATGATTCCCTAGGGCTGGGCAAAATAACTCATGTTCAATGATCCAGATTTTCATCTTGATAAAGACATAACTGTCTTTCAATATTAATTTCTGAATATAGAAATACTGACTTTTATTCACTGCAGTATCAACAAATAGACATTTTATCCCTCTAAATTTAAGCTTGCACAAAACCTGCTCTCAATCATAATTACAATTTGATTATTTGCACAGCCATGTAAGGCCCGATATGGATTATTTAGAAATAATGGATTCCCCTAAATCAGAACTCATTTTAAAGATTTTTACTCAATACAATAAAAGTCTGAGTCTGGTTGCAAAACCACTACCTACTCCCATTATGTCCAATACAATCAAATCACTGAACACTGAAAATAACTTGTCTGTTTAATTTGGTAAACCTTAGTTAGGGTTCAGGTTTGAAAACTATTAACCAGGGAAATATTATCTAAAAAAAATATTTCCAGTAATCTGCAGCATACCAAGTCAGTTACTCTTCCTTCGTTTTCAAAGAATCACTACCACAGCTACGGTCAGAGAAAATGTAGGAAACCAAATTTTAAAAGTTTGGAACCACTGTTTTGGTAGATATGACCTCATTGACTATTGTGTCCTCCTCTGGTAGCCCTTGTCACGACTGAGATTGCTCTAAACTTCTAAAGGATTTGCAGAGTTTTTTATCGACGGTGGACTTACATATGCACTCTGGCAGTTTGGGAGACCACTGACTGTTTTGGTCACAGGTCACAGTACTCTGTCCTTGCATAACACGTCCATTGTCGCACACAAACTCCACTGAGTCCTTGTACTTATAAGAGGGGCTCGTTTGACCCACCAGCTTCCCACCCTCCACTTTGGGGGCCCTGCACTCTATCACTATGGACAGAGGAAAACCATATGAACACAAAAAATACAACTTTTATCAAGCCATAACATGCACAGTTAAAGTTGGACAATGTAACTTTTCTGGAGGGTCGTATGCTATTTGTTGTCACCATGGAGATGTTATCGCTTCGCCTCCATACTCCATACGCATTAAACTAATAAATCTATACCATTTATTTCATTACATGTGTTTATACAGCTAAAAAGTACCTTGAAGATGCATTATTACTGGTATTTTAGTGCTGTTAACGCATATGCACATGGAAAAAAGGTTAGTGCATGAATGAGTTATGGCCCAATACAGCAGAGTAACACATTAGAACACAACATGGTTACCCATTTCTGTTTCTCTAAATAAATCCCCTTACATTTTTCAATCAGTAGACTTGATATTAAGTTTAAAACCGGGGTACTTTATCCTTTAGTGATTTCCCTCAAAGATTATATTGTAATTTCAGCACTTGTTGACAAAATCAGACCACAGCCAACTGTTTGCATCTTAATAATAATAATAATAATAATAATAATAATAATAATAATAATAATAATAAATGTAATATATAAAAAAAAAAAAGTGTACCAGTGAAACTTCCTGGTTTGCGGATGATAAAAAGTTTAAATTAGATGCAGACAGTACACAGCAGTCTCAATTTGATCCTAAGAGCTGCTTTTACAATACATCTGTACTGGGGTAAAACTACTTTCACATGAAAAAAAAAAAGTAATATTAAAAAGGATATTTTACTTCTATGGGGGTGTTCACTACTAATAAATAACACATTTAGATCACCACATTACCTTTTTGTGTAAAATTACTTATTAACGTGATTAATAAGTTTCACTTTTGTTTTTATGCTCTGAGTTCAGCATGCATCTCGCTAATGAAAACTACTGCATATGACATAGGTTTGCAAAATTATTGTGTACAGTTGTGCATCATGTTATAGTATATTTACGGAGAATTGTTTTGTGGGTGCATGGGTGATGTAGGTTTGTGGGCTGAGCAATGCACAGAATTTTACAACTAATCGTAAGGAGGTTTCAAAAGGGACCCATGAGAGATCGCAAAATGACTCAAAAATGCATGGATAACATCTAAAACCTCTTCAGGCATGTTTTTGATGAGGGAACTTTACATGGTAGAAAGCTAAAAAAAATAAAAATAAAAATAAAAACTATTTTGCTATTTAAAGACATTCCGGTATATTAACAGCACAAAATTCAAATAACTTACTTGTACATTCAGGCAGAGCAGCAGACCACTTCTGGTTATCTACACAGGTCAGGCTACTCGCTCCTTTTAGGTTATATCCCTCTGTGCACTTCAGCGACACAGTTTCCGTAAAACTTGTAGATGTCTTTGGCTTTACCGTCCACTTCTAGATTCGGGATTTTAGGAGCGTTGCATTGAATTTCTGTGGATGGGGGGAATGAAAATATTATCAAAACACATATCAAAATTTAAAGTTATGTTATGTTAGTTTATATTTTTAAGAAGTATTAAGGTCCCTTACAGCACCCTCCCTACACGCCACAATTGAACAAAGCCAGAGTCACCGTGAACGCGCCAAACAAAGTCCAACTGACCCATCTAACTGTTGTGTTTCGTTTAAAGTCCGGTGCAGTTTATTTGTGAAAAAAGTGCGCCTTATAATCCAGAGCACCCTACAGTGTGGAAAATACGGTAAACAAGCATTGGCGTGTCCCAAACTTAGTGACATGATGATATTGATACTTTGCAGTGACATCACGCTGGGGGTGTTCTGCATGTATCTCTATTGATGACATATTAGCAAACAGAAAGACCCAAAAGTTTCAAGATTATCTGAAAACTCAAGAAAAAAAAAACTAAATGGATTTAAACACCACATTTTCAGGAGCTTGTGATCAAAGCGTTCATGGTCCTGTTTATGTGTGTGACTGAACAAAAAAGGTGAGAGTGACTAAATGGAAAAAAAAAAACATTGCCTAATTTTATACGTGAGAGACTGGTTTAACAGCACAAATCAGCCCTCACCTAGTCTAACTTGAGTAACAGATCTGGTAACAGAGCAGTGCTTTCAGTCACACTCCCAACAAATATTGATGACATCAGCTGCCAAGTATGAATAAAAGATGAATTTTGATGTGAACTCTGTGTCTCTGATTATTTAATGTGTAATTATCTCAGCAAATTAACGTGATCTTCGGCTTTAGGTGAGTTTTCATTACCACCAAGCAAAAAAGAATGTCTAGTTCCATAAACTCCAAACAATAATTGCACATACACTGATGTCATCTGTAAGTTACATTATTTCGTAATGAGTTACACACCTTTTCCTGACTGGAAGTTGCCAATACAAAACCACTATTGTTCTCACCAAAGTTCAAAGTCCAGATCCAGATACTTAGAACTGGAGTTAGCATAGAGCAACAAATGTGGATTAAGTAGATGTGTGGGCAAATGGTATGATATTTGTAATAGGAAAAAGTACACTGCTTGTGTTACAGGTCTGGAATTTGATACTACTTACGTCTGATGAATCTACACAGTTAGCTGGTATCAGTTTTGTTCTACAGATGTGGCCCAATAGAGGTTATGCGCTGACGTAAATTTATTTGAGAAATACCCCTCAACATTCCAACTGAGTGGCATAGAGGCAGAACTATGGGCAGCATATCTTAAAGGTACTTAAATACTGAATACCTCTGTGTCATCAATTCACAAAATGGAGGGAAAATTTACAGAAAGGCACAATTTAAACAATTCTTTAAGAAATATTAAAGTCTTGTCAAATTATCTGTCAAATCTTAATTATTGAGAGTGACTTTGTGCTTGGAGTTCTATATGTTACACCTGCCTATGTTCAAGCACGAAGTAAAATTATATACCTCATCAAAATTATAACAGATCTTAAAAGGTGCACTGTGTAACTTTCTGGTGAAAGGTCTGCCACCTGCTTGTCTTCATGGAAATTAGGGCTGGGCGATATGGAGCAAAAAATATATCTTGATATATTTTGGTATATCTCGATATACGATATTTATCACAATATCTGTAGAGGAAAAATACCCCCCCCCCAAAACTCCTGCAAAAACAAATATGCCAAATTCCACAAAGTCTTTTTTTACTGAAGTGCAAGAGGCAGGCAGTTCATGTATGAAGTGCTTCTGGCACATTTAAGATTACGAAAAATCCTTGATTACATAAATAACACTAACTGTAAAATAAAATAAATAATACATATTTCCTTCTTTTCATTCATAAATAAAACAACTCAACTCAAGCTCATCTTTGCAATAACTGTTAATAGTACAATAACCTTGAGCTTATTTAGCAGAGGAAGCTCGGGAGGTTCCTTATTTAACACACCCATGTTCCAGCGTAAGGAGATCAAACTGAACATTTCAAAACACTATTGTACAAGTTACACTGCAGCAAATTATTGATTAAAATCCTCTGCATAAATAAACTTTACATTACTTAAACTTTATAATCTCAAACGGGCTGATGTGGCTCTATAGTCGTTATGCTTTAAATGTTGTAATGTGTTAAATGCAGTTTTGCGCACATGTTTTACAGAAACAAAACTTAAAAGCGCATGGCTAATATGCACAGCACATTGTGCCACTAAATGCATTCAGCTTCTTTCAGACTAAAGGAGAAGACTCAGTGGAATATGAGTGTTCTCTCTATGACAGAGGATGTTCTGCTGATGGTCTTGTCTGTAAATGGTGGAAAAGGTTCGTGGTGCTAGAAGCTTTTCACTGGCACCAACTTTCGGCGTTCACAGCAGTAGTGAGGAATGAATGAGACACAAGCGAGCAAAATGAGGGAGGCGCGCAGGGGCGATGACAGAGAAGGCAAACAAACGAAGCGGCAAAATCAGAATTGAATATAAGCATTATATCGATATATACAATATGTCAGAATCCATACTGAGTTTAAAAAATATCTCAATATATTTAAAATATCGAGATATCGTCCACCCCTAATGGAAATGTTATTGCTTTGTCTAGAATGTCCCACAGTACGGCACTGAACTCATCTATATCCATTGAGACAAGCCCACGACGCCTCCAGGTTAAGTTATAAGTCAGATCTGTGGAGAGGCGAGCTCACCCACTGTAGGAATGTATATTTTTCCTAATATTTTGTAGCAGTAAAACACCAGCAACTGAATAAATGCAACAGTGGCAATGGCTGGAATTGAATACTGTACTGTGAAACCTTTTGGGCAAACAATAATATCTCCATGGGAATAAGTTTGTGGCAGACTCCCTACCAGAAAAGTTACATATCGCATCTTTAAATAGAATGAATGCACTTAAATATGACTTAATACATTTCTCAGAGCACCAACACAAAGAAGAGACAAAAATATAAAGATAAAAGGCTACGCAGGTCAACCAAGAGGTGAAGGTGAGACTGAGTGCCAGTTGTACTTACCGGTGCAATTTGGAATTTGGCTCCACTCGCTGTTGATAGTACAGGAAACAGTGCTGGATCCATTTATTTTGTACCCGGTATTGCACCCGAACGTGACCGAGGACTGGTAGGTGTAAGGAGGACGCGAGCCACTCACAATCGCCCCATTATTTACCTTAGGAGCATTGCAATTTACCACTGCAAATAAAAAAGAAACAATTTAGTCTATTTTGTCTGTCACACTGATGCAGAGATGTTCGATTTCAAAATGACCAAATCCAAGGGACGCACAATATATTGCAAAATCATTCTCGCAATATTGGATGAGAGGTTACGCATCCATATTTCAACAACCTAAACTAAATGTACAGTGGGAATTTGAACTGGATCAGAAAGTCATTTCAAAAAGTAGTTGTCTCATTCTGTAAATATGAAAAAGAAACAGTAAAAAAGAAATGCATTGATTTAAATCTCTAATGTAATCCTAATTTTTCTTTGTTTTACTCATAATTTAGTCTCTGATGAGTTTATATGTTGATGAAGTTCGGCCTAATTAAGTAATTTACATTTCTGTTTTAATTTCAAGGTGCACTACGTAACTTTCCTGGTGGACGTTCTGCCCCCTGCTTGTCTCCATGGAGATGACTCGGGCTTAAACCATAGACGGTGAACTAAGGGAGTGTGACTTCACCCATAGCATTTGGCTCCATTCAAAGGAAGCTCACAAGGCTTGTGCTTTATGGGGGCAAATTTGGAGCGGAGTTCCGTAATAGGAATTTATTTACGTACAAAATAGTAGGGGTGGGCGATATATCGATATTTTAAATATATCGAGATAGTTTTTAAACTCGATATGAATTCTGACATATAGTATATATCGATATAATGCTTATATTCAATTTTGATTTTGCCGCTCATGGTTATGGTTCTGGTTTGGATAACAGAGTTAATGCAAAGATGAGCTTGTGTTGAGTTGGTTTATTTAAGAATGAAAAGAAGGAAATATGTATTATTTATTTTATTTTACAGTTAAAATTATTATTATATATTATATAAATTATTATTTATGTAATTAGGGTTTTTTGTAATCTTAAATGTTCCTATATGAACTGCCGACCTCTTACACTTCAATTAAAAAAAAGGACCTTGTGGAATTTGGCAGATTTGTTTTTGCAAGTTTTCAGTTTTAGGGGGTTATTTTTTCTTGAACATATATCGAGATATATATCGTATATCGAGATTTAGCAAAATATATCGAGATATATTTTTTGATCCATATCGCCCAGCCCTACAAAATAGTGAAATAAAATCACCAGGATCATGAAGAGTGGGTTAATATAAACATTTTAAGACCAAAATGATGAGGCTCACCACAGTAGTTAGAGAGATAGCGACAATTTTTCCATGTAAAACCAATTGGAGCCAGAGTCAGTGGAGTTGAAAGTGTCACCATGAACACTTCCTATTTGGAATCTGCTGGCTAGCTTGTTAGCTATGTCCATACGGTCTATGCCCTAAACCAGGGATCTCCAACCTGTAGCTCGGGAGCTACCAATAGCTCTCCACCCTCTTCCAAGAAGCTCGCCAAAGGATTTCTGAATTACACGTATTGTGCTGAATAACTAAAATTTGAAGTAACACTTTAGATTAGGGACCACATATTAATAGCCAAATTAATAGTGAATGCATAATAAGTGCTTAATTACATCTTTGTTGTTATTCATAAAGTACTTTCAATGCATTTTTGTCTAAGACTGTATTTTGCACTAACCCATTAACAGTTTTCTTCCAATTAAAGTAGTGGAGATTACAACAGAAACTTTTGTGCAAACCCTGAAATCTTAATAAGCATTATTAAATGTTTGATTTATACCCACTAATAGCCAAGTAACAGCTTATTAGTATATCAACTACCATTTATTCTATTATTCTATTATACTATTCTATTAATATGTGGTCCCTAAACAAAAGTGTTACAAATTTGAAAATTATATGCCTGTTACTATTGTACATGTCATTTTGATGCCTAACTTCGAACACTAATAATTGAATAATGATTTATGTTTTATAGGCATGTAACTTTATCTCATCTAAGGCTCGCCGTGGCTTATATATAATAAGTTTCTTGTGACCGATAAAACTAGTAGCTCTCTGGCATTTTCGTTTTGTAAAAGTAGCTCACCAGAGGAAAAAGGCTGGAGACCCCTGCCCTAAACTTATCCATCTACACGGAGACAAGCAGGTGACACTCGGCCATGTTACAGGTCAGATCAGTGACCCCATTCACAGTAAGAATGCATGTTGTTATAGGTACTTCTCAACAAACGCTCTTGTAATTGAATAAATCCAAAACAGATTTGTATAACGCTATATTGTGAAACATTACACAATGTTACAGACAAAACATTAACATCTCCATGGAGACAAGCAGGTAGTGGACCCCTCACAAGAAAGGTTTTATAGTGCATCTTTAACTAAAAGTGCTGTGCCACTGTATTTCCTCTATCGTAATATAAAACAGAGATCAGATTTTTCTTCTCATATTGTGAATATACTTACAGACACAGTTTGGTGGTTCAGGTGTGAATACTTCATTTGTGCATGTTAATGTCGCTGATCCATTTAATACATATTTTCCATTACAAGTGTACTGGACGACCTCTCCGTAGTGGTACGATGGATTCACTGGACTGAAGTATCCATTAGCGATTTCATTTGGTGCATAACACAAGATCGCTGAAAAAACATGTTTATTAATTAGGTTTTAAATACATGGAATACAAGTTTATTATTAGTTAAATGGGTTTAGAGGTGGGCAATATGTTTTGAATAGAAACGTTATGACTCAGATTTAACGTTTACTGACAACATGACCAAACAACAGTAAAATCTTTAAAGAGGGGGTATTACACTTCTATACTAACAGATATTCCCCGAAAACATTCAGTTTCAATTCATTTTTAACACCAAGTCCCCCCTCCCTTTGCTCCCCTCACTTCCCCTTCAGAGCATAATCAGTGTGTATTCAGCTAATTAAACTACAGCACAGCACATTCACTTTATTACATTGTGAACTGTTTCGTGCCCTGCTTCTTTGTATTTATAGAAAATTGTCATGGGGACGCATGGACAGAATTTTGCAGCTAACCGTAAGGAGGGTTTGGATAGGGCCCAGCAGAGATCACAAAATTACAGAAACATGCATGGATAACTTCTACAACCTTTTCAGGTATGTTTTTGACAAAGGAACAGCAATATAACATGGTAGAAAACAAAAAATAAATAATAATTTTGCATAATATCCCCTCTTTAATTTTCATCATGTTATCTAACACATTACAGTTTGTGACCTGGTTTATGAAATCAAACTTTCTTGAATGAAGTAAATTTGAGGTGACTTAACAGCCTTAAGTGAATTGTAGGGATGGGGCGATTCTCAAAAAAAGTTCAAATCATGGTGCCTGGAGTTTCAATTTGATTCCATGTTGAGTTCGACTCTCACGTGTCCCTCGCTTTGGCACTGGCAGGAAAAGGCCAAGCCTGGAGTCCTTTCTTAGATACAGAAAGTAAACAGCTCTATAGTAGCTCACTGCTGCTGTATTCTAACAGAGGTGAGTGCTATCTTTCAGTCACTTTTTAATTTACGTTGAGATTGAGGACTAACAAAAATATGAACTTTTAAATATACTTTTAAAAATACTCCAAAACTGCTTTTTGGCTTTACGCATGTTAATCAAATATGCTCGTAATTCACACACGACTCATGCTAACACAATCTTTTTACACAATTTGACTTGGTAAATAAAACATTTAGGCATTATTATGTCTTATAACATGTTAAATTATAAGAACTGATGACCTATTTTTATTTAATTTAGACAGTTATTTATTTATTCTTATTATAAAAGCATTTATTTCAGATTCTACAGTAGGAAAACTAAATGTTATAATTTATTGTTTTGCTAACTAAAGTTAAAGTCTGAGCATTAATAACAATAACTTTATTTTTTAACTCAATGCTATTAGTATATTTTGTGTTTTAAGATAAGAAATAATGTTAATTTAAAGAAGTTACCAAAATCAAAGAAAATCGAAAATCGGGAGTCCAAAATTGAAAGTTGAATCGAACTGTGAAATGATCCCATCCCTAGTGAAATGACTTAATTTTGTTTTTAAAGTGTAATTATGTTTTAGCTCTTAGGATTCCATTGTGGCCCGAATAATACAAATATTAGATTAACCTAATAATCTTGTCAATATATTTTTGCCAACATCACATACGCCTAAATTTACTTATTAGGTGTAAACGAAATGTGTTTTAAAATGCATAATGTAGTAATAAAAATCTACAAACGGTCACAAACGGCTATCCGGTCCTCCCAGCCGTTTACTCCACAGTAAGCCGTACTATCCTTTGGCACTGGGGTATAGCTAAGGAAAAACAGTAAAACACAAGAGATAAGTGACATGATATACAGCACAAACTTAGAATAACAGAGGGAAAATGCTGATGGCATTCCACGTTTCCAAATGACTAACCCATCATTACAGACGGCACGAATAGTAGCACCAAATTCAGTGCCTTCGCTGTAATCGACGTGTCCATTATCCACCTCTCCATAGGAACCACAGTTTCTTACTGAAAAACAAGGCAAATAAAAATATGAAATTCATTTTAATATAATGTAAGGGAATCCTTTTGACAACATGAAACTTGTGGGGATGTTAAAATAGTAAATTTTTTATTATGAAGGGCCCAACACCTGCATCTCTAATGGTTAATGCCTTGCTTGGAATTTTCCACAGTACAGCATTAAACTTTCTTGCATTATGGATGCTTTTATTGCTCTAAAATATTTTGAAAAACAGACATCTGTGCCGCCTCTCCACAGAACAGACCTGCGACTTTGGCTGGCATTGTCACCTACTTGTCTCCCTAAAGATAACCAAGTTTAATGCCTTACCGTGAAACAGTCCAGGCAACACAACGATATTTCCATGGTGACAAGTGAAGAAGAAAAGTTACATATAGCACTTTTAAGTGTGACATTAAAATTTTTAGGTTTATGATAATCGATTTTGTACCGATGAAAGAGGCTTGAAACTCAATGCCACAGCGATATTAGAGAAATGCTACTTTCAGACAATAGCATTTTTAACGCAATATAATTTATTTGATATCACCATGGGGGCTCGTACTAGTTCTAATTAATATAGATCAACACTATTCCAAAACTACTGAGGATGATCTATCAGTACTAGACAGATTGCTTTCAATGTCTTGATAACACAAAGAACAATTCAAATTCTTTATGTCCTCGTACATGCTCTGACATAGAGAAGACCATTCTAAAACTACTGATTCAGATACGTTTTTCAGTATTAGTACTTGTTCAAATGAGAATCTAATTTCAATACTAGTTTTATTGAGCGCCTGGATATTTTTTCATCCCTACCCTAGACAAGAATTATTAAAATACTAACAATTTCAAACTCAATTTTGATACAAAGAAAAAATTTGAAATACTAGACAGATTGCTTTCGATACCACAAAAAACACATAATTTTTTTAAGACACTAGACTAGAGTAAACGTTTAAGATCAAAATTTGACCCATTTGTGTATGTTTCAGTATCAATACTTGTTCAGTTACTTGTACTTGTTAGTATCTGAATATTCATTTTTATTTTTGACAGCCCTACCCTGAAGTGATGCTTACTTTCACAAATCCTCCTCAAAATGCTCCACTGCCCATTGGAGCAGGTGACAGTTCCAGAGCCCTTAGCCATGTAGCCCGGCTCACAGGTGAAGGTGACTTGGGTGCCATCTGGAGCTGGGAATGTGACATCAGTGATGAGCTGCATGTGCTCTTTACCTGTGGGTCTGGGGCAGTCACCTGTAAAAGACAGAGGAGCAATGGATTGGATTTTAAATGGGATTACAATTTGCAACCGATTAAAGGGCTAGCACCTGATTTGAATGTATTCTATAGTCAAGATAATAGTTCTTTTCATCATGCATTTTGATTGGTAAAAGCTGTTAAAGGAGTAAGTGTAATAATCTTTGGGTTGGGCAATTAGTACAATTTTTACTGACCTAATTGTCAGTGACAGTTGGCTGAAAGAAGCAGTCCATGTGTCAATAAACCACTTACAACTTTTCTACAGAACAGTGTTTCATTCTGTTTCATTATCACTAGGGCTGTATTTGACTAAAGCCATGTCCTGCTGATTGATTAGTCGACTAAAAAGAGGGCGTGACAAAATCTCTTAAAACCGTTACATCTCTCTCTCTGATCTGGTCTCTCTCTGTTCCTTCCATTTACATCCTACTATCCAACTTCGCACACTGGAGCCTCTTTGAAGCAATCCACTTCGTTCCTGCTTTTCAGTTGGTTGATCGTTGATGATATCCTAGGAATTTTTTTGTGGAGAAATCTACAGCCATTCCTGTCAGTACCAGAACATAGTCTGGAGCAGAGTTCAGCAGAATCAATCGGGCTATTCTTTGAGCGAAGTTGCACTAATTAACGATTCGTGCAAATTTCAGCATTCACGTTGTCCCCCCATCAGAAACATGCTCCAAAAGGGGAGTGACTTTATACAGGGAGCAAAGGGAGGGGGGACTCAAAGTATCAACAATGAAACTGAAAATATAATAATAATATATAAAATATGTTAATAGGTTGTACGTGGCAATGGTAAACAAGGCATTTTTACAACTACAAAGGTAGCATGATTATCTAAATATGTTGTTATGATGGGTTAACACTTAACATGCCATAGCAGTAAAATACCTCCTCTCTAATAAAACAACTCCCAACGTAATTGAAACAGGGCTGCTAATATTAATATAGAGGCACTGTAACACTCCATACAGCATTCGCGGGTCATATACTCACCATAAACAGTACTGGCAATGCCGAGGAAGACGAATAACACCAAATAAACTGACATTGCTTCAGTCAGGAAGAGATCAGCTGCCTTTTCCTGTTAAAACCACATTCAGTTCATTGAAATGATTGTAACATGATAATTTTTTACATTGGTCATATAAACAGTCGCATTTTAAAATAAATATCAGATTCTTTTTTGTCAAGATTAATTATTTACTTAGAAAATATTCTAATATACATTTAGAGGTCAAACAGATATTAATGTTCATTCATAGTGTATATTCAAAAGTAGTACTAGACCTAGATCAGTCCTGAATTTAAGATTTTCTTGAATTTGGAAAGGTCCAAATAAATTCCCTTGTGGATCAATAAAGCTTATCCAAGTCCAAGTCTAAAAACTGGGTTATTAAATAGAAGTCAAAGTTCAAGTGCTATGTTAACCATGTATATAGCACCTTACAATTATTCATTCACTTGTTGGTGGTAAGCCAATAATGTAGATACACACCACATCCAAACTAGTCAATGAGGGTAAAGTGCCTTGCCGAAAGACACAACTGTGGCATCTGGTATTCCCAGTAATCTCCTATTTAAGTACTACTCAGGCCCAGTGTTCCTTTGTCACGATATAGATCAATTTACTCCTTTTGTTATGGTTAAGAGTTGGCTGTACACTTGGTTTATTCTTGGTACACAGTTACTGGTTGGAGATATAATTTTCATGATTTCAAAAGACAATGGAGTTTTTTGGAGTTCTTTTATTTAATGGAGAAGTCAAATTCTAGTTTAAGTAAAGTGCTGCTCTGTCATCTTATAGCTCAATTTACACCTTTACTTTACTCCTTTATTATAGTTAAAAGTACTTGGTTTATTCCTGGTACACAATTTCTGGTTGAAGATAGATAGGCATCTTTATTGCAAACGCATCCACCAAAGGAAAAAACAAATAAAAACAATAAAACAATATAAAACATACAAAACAATAAGAGGTCCCTAACTTCTTATGTTTCTACAGTTAAGGTGTATAGCAGATGGTACTGTATCCAATATTAGTTAACAATAAAATCACCAAATTTTCTGAATTGTTCAAATGGCACATAAATTTATACATAACATTTCTTAAAATTTGCTGTGTATTAAGTCTTGAGGACACAAACAGTTCACTGGCACTAGTCCATCTGGGCCTATTTCGAGATCACATTTTTTTGAAGAGGGTTTGGCAATTCTTTAATTTTGACTTAATTTGATGGGATGATACCTGTAAATATAAATTTTTTGTTTTACACCAATCAAGATGCTATCTGCGAAGAAAAGTTGGAAAATATGTTGAAAATTACAGGAAGCGGAGAGTTCCAAACACATGGTCCAACCTGTCATAGGCACTTTAAGTTTAAAATGTTGCTTGTTTTGCTTGTTTTTGGCCATTTGCATTATTTTTTGGTGACTTGGCTTCAATGGTCTTTGCGGTTTCAGACTTGGTTTAGCCCCTTAGTCTTTGTCTTAGATCTATTATAATTGGAAATATTTCTGGTTTTGAATTTAGACTTACTTTTATCATATTTAGAACTGAGATATAGACCTGGTTTTGTGCTGTTATAGACCCATTTTAGTTCTGGTGAAACTTATATAGCCATATTTTTTAGGTGGGAACCATTTGAGTCACTTGGAATGTTAGCACGTGACATATTATCTAAACTCTTACTAACCATGTCTGGCACTGGCACCTGGGTTCTTTGTAGGTTAATCTTGCCTGACGAGAAGTATTAGCAAGCTACCGTTATATCTAGTTCAAGTAAACAGTACTGCGATCAGGAAGTTAAGCGAGTGACTATTTCATACTTTATGTCATATAACATTACCAAGTAGGCGTAGTTTTGGTATAAACACTAAAAATGGCTAGCGGATGGGTGTGTGCTGCTAGCCAAATTAACATCGTAGTCCAAAAAACAAAAACACAGCATGGTAAGCTAGCAGAGGCGAGTTGAAAGAAAAGCTGTCTAAACCTGTAATCAATCTATGTTCAAGACACCGTAAGCCGTATTAAAGTAAAATATAAAGCTTTATATCTTCGAAAGTACTCACCAAAGCAGCGATCGGAGTAGAATGGCTTGTCTTTAGCGAGTGGACTATGAAACATAGAAGGTTTGACGGGAAAAGGCGTGACCTAAACGTGGGCGTGCGTCATGACGTAGGGTGCGTAGCGTCATGAAAGTCGGTGACAGAGCATGGAATAATGGAATAATAAAGGGTCTTTTTATTCACAATCACAATTCACAACAGTTTTGCGGAGGGGGGGGAATTTTGTGAGCTGGTGAATAAAACACGAAGGGCCTGTCACATGGGCTTATCCTTAATAACTTTTCGTCTTTAAATTCATAGACAAGCACAAAAATCTTACACTCTACAACTAAATGGAATAAACCTCAAACACCATCTGTTTTTGACTCAGCGTCTTTCAAGTAAATCTAGATCAAACTACAATTATTCAGCCACGACAAACACATCTACCTATTTTAAATATCAAAACATAATTTCTTATTTTACTCACAAAAATATAAATATCCTATAAAAATTAAGTGAGGCCAACATATTCACAAGGTCAAATACACATAGGCCTATAAAAACTGTTACAACCATAGACTGTATACATAGATGGACATTAATTAAATAGGTGGATAACAGAGTGCAAGTAATTTGTAACGTGTATTATCTGTATTTTAAATTTAATTATGGACCCCATTTATAAGACAAGGTCAGCCTTCAGGGGTTTCCCATTTACAAAATGTATTTTCTAAATTAGCATTAATATTTTTATTGTATATTGTTTGTCGTTTTGTAGTAAATAAATAAAATAAAATCCTCTAGCCGCCACATTCCAAAGACCAATATTTCCTTACATAGAAACATCTGAATCATTCAAGCATTTGAATAAACAAATACTGTCATAGCAGTGTAAATGACCAAACCCAATGAACCCATCTGAATTGGTGGAAGTGCCCCTCCTGTATGAGGCAAACTGTAATCTTTTGGATACTGACTAAATTCCCAAAAGGGGACATTCACATGCAGCTGAGCAGCATAAGAAATTATTATAGTTATCAAAATTAAGATAAGAAAGCTTTTGTTAAAGGTCATATTTTACGCAAAGTTGAATCTTGTAAGTTTTAAAACATGTTATAATGTTGTCATCATCAAAAAAAATACTTGTTTCTTCATCACAAACATACCTGGAGTTGTTGTTTTGTTTCATCCACACACTGAATAACCCTTTAGTATGAGTCTGACTCACCAAAGCACAATTTGCTCTGTTCCACCTTGTGACATCATGAAGTGGTAGTTTTTAAGTTAACAGCTACATTTTTACCTTTCAGATTGGTAATTCTAGGGCTGAAATCATCCAAATGATTCTAGTGAAGGTGTATGGAATTTAAAACACAGTGTATCAATTCCTGTATTACTACATGACATCACAAGGTGGAACAGAGTGTTTTCTGTCTGAGAGAAGCCTAAATATGCAGGATTTGTGTATTAAACATGTGTAAATGAAACAAAACACAACTCCAGGTATGTTTGTGATGAAGAAACAACATTATAACATAGATCAGAAAATACTGTATGGGAGCTTTAAATATCAGTATCACAGACAGTAAAAATAAAGTATACCAGTAATATAATTCTAGCTAATAATTTAAACTTACCATAAACATGAATGCTGACATTGGAATGCTTTGACTGGTCAGCTTTCTAAATCAAAGATCATAATCACATTCTTATACTTTTTTTTTTTTTTACAAAAAATAGGTGAAGACATACATATTTGTGCAGTAAGTTCTTATTATGAAGAAAGACACAGTACAAATGTACAAATATGGTACAAAATAAGTCTTTAAAGAACATTGTGGTTTCAGATATAAATTTTATATACACATACAATATCTTTCAAATCTAATTAAAGGTCCTATTTACACAAAATTGACTTTTGTGAGCTTTAACCTATGTTATAATGCCCTTTAAACATATAAGATTTTTCTTAAGATTCATGGGAAAAAATGGGGGAGGAAAAATGTATGAGATTTTTACTCTCAGACCCAGACATATAGGCCCATCCCATAACCTCCAGAATACAAGTACACATGATGAAGACAATGCCTAAATGCTGATTCAGAAGAGATAAAACCATATAAAATGTTGCTTATCACTTCCAAGGAACTACCATTAAACACGAGTGCGTCATAATGCCATGGTGCACTCAGGGACATTAGGTTTTTCTTGGTCTCCTCCTCGTCACACGTCTTCCTTTGTGTTTTCTTTTGGTGCATCTCACCACAAGGAGCAGGAAGATCAGCAAGGACACAAGTAAACCCAAACGAAGAAATCTATACCATGGTGGGATTGTAGTCCATGACCTAAAAAGCAGATAAATTCAATTAAAGGAATATGTAAGATTATCATTTCCATAATAAAATCCATAAACATGACCGAGATACGAGGAAAACATGTTCAAATCAAATATAGCTTTTACTGTTATTATTGTGCTGCAGATTTACTCTTAAAAACATTGTACATGATGGCTAAGTTGTTTATGTGTGTTTGGTTATCAAATCAGAAAGGAGAATGAGCCTAACACGAGTCTCTAATTTGGATTGCCAGTTTCCGTGCTGAAATCCAGTTGGTTTAAACCTAAAACGTCTCTCTCTGATCTGATTTGTCATTACCTAAAACCAGCACCATCATTAAGCAGCTGTAGTATCCATATAATACAAAAAAAGCAGGTTTTGGCACTGGCAACCCAGGTACAGTTGTGAATGTAGTACCTTAAAAAACGTGTGCAGATTACGTACAGT